TTCCTCCACTTTATATGGGACGCCACCACAGCATGGCTTGCCAAGCAGTGCGTCGGTGCGCGCCCGGGATCCGAACCAGCGAACCCCGGGCCGCCACAGCGGAGCACGCGCACCTAACTGCTTGCGCCACCGGGCCGGCCCCTGCTGTATAAATTTTTTAATAAAAGGTTTTTCCTAGGCTTTGTGATTGGCTTGTAAGATGATATGAGCAGATTTTCTTTTGAACCCCCTGCATATGGGAAGAAAGAGCACAGATATTGTTTCTATTATGAGATAGATGCAGAACCTGAGTCATAAAATAGTGAAGTGGTTTAACCAAGATTGCTAGTGAGAGTGTTGAGGATCTTCCTCAAGCATCCCTCTGATCATGTTTCTTGGCTGCTCAAAAAACTTTGAGTGTCCCATTTCCTGATACATAAATCATACACTTCTAATCTAGTCATTGGCAACCATCTAAAATCAGGCCCTCATAATACTTTTCGCTTTTTATCCTAATCACAACTCTTTGCCTAGCTTATCATTTCCAAAAAACTAAACCACTGACTGCTTAATACTTTGCCAATTTTTAACTTTGTGCCTTTTGCTAAGCTGCTGTCTTTGATTGTCTTTGCCACTTATTGCATGAAGCTTTATTTGATGGTCCCAGTCTAGCCACAACTGTTTATATTTTTGGTGGATTTAAAGTCCCTCTCTCTCTCGACATTGGATTGGAGTTAGCTGTCTGTTCTATCTCCCTTACTAAACTGAGAGCTCATTGACCAGCTCCTATTCATGTTTCTCCAAATTGGAGGCGCCCAGTGTGTGAATGAACAAATGAATAAAACTTGGTATTGAGATACCCAACTATATTAACCTGCAACTTGGCGTACTCAACTGGATAAAATTGGGATCAAATAAATGTTACTGAATGACTATTACAGAGTAAATATTTACCTTATATTGTAAGTATATTGTTGGTAAATATGCATCTTTGAAACCCTTGATCCCTAACATGGCAGCATGAGAAATAAAACTAAAAATCTATCTCAAATACATCAGAATAAAACATCTCTGATACAAAATTAATATTACTGAAAATGGTCTTGATGATAAAAATGAAGATAAGATGACCCTTTCTTTGGCTTTGGAAAACACTGAGAATCTCTTAAGTGTTCACAGGGCCTTGTAAAGGGAAGTCTGTCCCTGAAAGCAGAAGCTTGTATCTTCTTTGCACTTCTTCTCTGTACTTCTTCCGTTCTTTTTACAAAAATGGAAACAGAGCAATCCATTTAGGAGAAATGAAAAACGTGTTCATGAATTATTTTACAAAACGGGGTAATGGGAACATTTTCTTAAAAATCCCTATAAACTGCAATAAATGGAAGTGACCAATCATTCATCATTCATATTTTTAAAAGTACTAGCTCTTCAAATTCAGCAAGGGAAATAAAAAAAAGAACATTCAGCAGGGATCTGGAAAGTTAGTTTTGCATTGAGTAGATCTTCTAGCCTAATATCTTTATTGGTCTATATGAAAATATCTACTTTAATGTCTTAGGAATTTCTTCAAGTAATTATAATGAAACAATTTAAAAATTACCACATATTATTAATTTTAATAGCACATTTTAGAACTCCATGTCTTTTGAAGACATTTCATATTGACTATCTCATTTGCTGTTATGAGATTCTTTCCAGTAGAAAGGAAAGATACGAGAATTTTCGTATGACAAATGAATGAGCTATATGTGGATGGAAGGATTCATGACTTCTTCCAAATCATACAACTATGGTTTGGGGCATGTTTATTTTAAAATTTTCTTCTCTAGGATAATTGCTCTGTTTGATACAATGAATAAAATATTTAGCAAATCCTTGTACCATGTGATATCATATTCTACTTTACAAGGGAGTGCCATGTAATAGTGTTGGTTTGCTGATGTTGATGGCTTGCTATAGTCCAATACTGTGAAAGCTATTTAAACTTCCTTAGCTTAATTTTCCAGGTATATTTTTAAAAATTGTCCCCTCTGTAGTTGCTATAACAATTCAGATACTTACTACATGTAAATTAACGAGGTAGGCCTCCACCAATGTTTGTTGCTGGTTTCTTTCTTATTCCTTTTGTTTTTCTCTTTCCTTTTCATAGCAGCCTATGGTTTGAAAATAAAGAAAAAAATGAATAAGAAGCCAAGTTTCCGTATTAACATCTGGAATAGTGTCATTAGGTAGAGAGAGGAGGTGATATAAATGTAGTTTTATAATATCTATAATTGGCTAATAGCCAATTAGGATAAAATGTCAGTTAAAGTGGTTACTCACATTATCTCAGCAGCTGTATTTACTCAAGTTAAAGTCACAGACATTTTCCCAATTTATTTTTTTAATGGAATACTAAACATTTCCCAAAAAAACAACAAACCAAAGAAAACAGTTGTCCACTTGATTTCATCAGTCTTTGCCAATGCAAATACCTTGAAACCCTCAAGACAGTCTTAGCTGCATTCATTCCTGGTTAAAAATACATGACATTTTTTTTCTATGTTTCCTTCCCATTTTTCAAAATAGAATATACAGTTTGTTTCTCATTAAGGTTGGTGAGAGTTATACAGCAAAGATGTCTAAGTAGCTTTGAAAATGTGAAGGTTAGAGTTTAAGGAAAGGTAAATTTTTCATGTAAACCTTGTTAGCGGTACCTCGGTCATCATCACTTTAATTAGCTGTGTCAGTCATCACCCCAGGAATGATTATGGCATCCGAACTAGGAGCCTGCCAGAGACTCTTCTGGGTCTGCCATTTACAGAGATTTTAATTACTCAGTATCCATTCTAATAGAAAGACAAGGTTTTTTTCCCTCCTTTTGTTTCACAATGAGTATATTACACTGCTTGTTCACCTTCTCCGTTTTCTTCTCAGCTGGTTCCCCAGAGACCAGTGGGAAAGAGTGTGGCAGCACCTGTGATTGTCGGAACGGAGGCACCTGTGATCCTTTGACTGGGCATTGCCGGTGCCCCCCAGGGGTACATGGGAAAACCTGTGAAGATGGTAGGAATGTCTGGTGCTGGTCAGAGGAGACAACTCTTTAAGTTCTTGAGGTTTCTGTTCAAAAATGAACTAAGCAAAATTTGCATCTGTATTTTTCAAGGTGGCCTTTCTGAAGAAGTAAAAGACTGTGTCTATATCTATATAGTCGTGTGTGTGTGTGTATCTATATACACACACACATATATATACACATATATATATATACACGCACGAGTACAATTGCTTTGACTGATGACATGTGTAATAGAACAAGATAAGTGAGGCTTAAATCTCCAACTGTGATCCAAGCGGGATGAATCCTGATACAGAGAAAACGTTTTTCTTCCACTGAGCGAAAAGTTGAGTTTCTGTGTGCAGGTTTAGACCTAGGAGCTGGGGAGAATTTATTTGCTCTGCATAATAAATGGAAGAAAAAAATGGAGCTCCTTGGGCAAACTGGGGAGGAAAAGAGATGACAATCAGAGAAGAAAAGGAGAGGAGGGAGAGAGGAAAAGAGAGGAGAAATGATGGATGAAAAACTCACAAAAAACCAATGAGTGCTGTGTGCGGACTTTTCCTGGAAGCCAGTGAAGAGGCCACATTTCTTACATAGGTTGATAAAGCACCAAAAAAACCTGCTTGTACAGGCCCAAGAGCTGAAGGCAGAGTCAATGAAGATAGAAGTCTTCAGGAATTGCCAGAAATCATGGGGAGTTTATTAGATTCTTACATATCACGGAACTGGGGAGATGGAAACCAAGTTTACTTTGTTCTCTGAGCTACTGGTGTCCCAGTTATTTATCCCCCTGAAAATGGTGATTCATTTATTCAAAAAATGTATATTAAGAGTTGGCAAGAAACTGTGCCAGGCATTGATATTGTAACAACAACAAAAAAAAAATTAAAAGGACCCTGGTCCTTCCATGTGGAAATTATGGTCTTGTTCGAAGCAGACCTAGGTTACAAATGTTGGTAGGTAGTACAAATTAAATATGAATGTCTGCTTGGAGGTCAGACCATGAGGACAATGCAGACTGTGTGAGCCAGCAAGAGACTTCTGGAGAAGTGCCACTTAAGCAGAAGCCTGCAGAATGAGGAGACACGAGACAGAGGGAGAGTGAGGGAAGAGCATTCCAGACTGAGGGTGCTGCGCATTGCCAGACTCTGATGTGGGAAAGAGCGGGGTGCATTAAAGGAACCTGAAGCAGGGCAGCTGGTGGAGTGCAAGTCAGTCAGGGAGATATTAGCGCAATGTGAAGTCAGCCTGTGCAAGGGCTCGCAGGTCTTGTTTGGGATGTTTAACCTGACCGCAATGGCAAGTGGTTGTAGGATTTTAGGGAGAGGATATGCAATCATATTTGTGGTTTTAAAAGATCTCTCTAGCCTCAGTCCAATCAGATTGGAAACATCTTCCCATTTGCAAGCTCCTTATTTCATATAACAACAGCTCTAGCAAGTGTTGCATGTGGGTTAATATTTGCTTTGTTTGTCCTTCCACCCTCCAGGATGCCCAAAAGGATTCTTTGGGAAGAACTGCAAAAGTAAATGTAACTGTGCCAACAGTGGCCATTGCCACAGGGTGTATGGCACTTGTATGTGTGAGTCAGGGCGCTATGGGAGGTTTTGTCATCTAAGTCACAGGCACTAAATTTGCCCCCTGTGTGAAGCAAGGAGGCTCAGAAATTACTGAAAATATGTTAGACAAAGAGGAGAGTAAAAAACGTAGCATACTTTATATAGTCATGTCATATATATGATGATTGTGTTCTAGTCTTTAGCCTCCTTACATTATAGAATCTAGATGGTGATGAATGAAAGAAAAATATTTCTGAATTCTTTACATTTTTCCTAGTTAGTGTTTACCTTATTTACTGAGAGAGGATTGTTATTAGTTCATTTAAATGGACATTTGACAGTTTATAGGAGTTGAATATCAAAGGCCCAGAACAAGTCTCTTTTATTTCTGGGTTCTAATGCAAAACAATATAATTTTCTAAAATGTTAAAATAGGCTATTCGTTTTGCATTTTGACCATCAATCACATTTTGCAAAAGATGCGAGAAAATACAGTCACCAATAAATGCTTCAACCTGTCAGTAACTTTTAGGATTTCTCCCAATGGGACAGGTCTGGGTGCCCACCATCCCGTCTTGAAGCTGTGTGCAAGTACTTGTGAGCCCGAAACAGTCTCTGCCCTGCTCCTCTCCTATTCCATGTGCCCTCCTCTGAAAATCCTTCCTGAGTGACCTCAGTAACGCCATGACCCATTTCTTAATAATAGAGACCTTTTAGAGTCTTATATTATATATTTAGTTGAATGTCCATAGATCTTATCTATTCTATAAAAGGCATGCCCCTTGAAAACAGAGAGTAAATTTTGAATACTCCAATGAGAGAGCCAGTGAAGGCATCATAGAAAACTGAACCTAGGTCATGAGGAAAGAGTAGCCTCGGATAAACAAAACAGAAGAGAAGAGGAGAAGGCATGGATAAATGTGAGCAATGCAGGTGCAGATGGTATGTTCTAGAACATCATATACCTCGTAGAACAGGCCAAGAGAAGAAGACTCACCTAGAAACAAAGATAGCATCATTTCTATTATTGCTCCTCTAGGGTAATAAGATGCACCCCATTTTTTAGTAATAACTTTTGAATATTTTATAAGGTAATAGATGTTTTGGCAAAAAACATTTAAATCATAATTCATCTGGTCAAAAATTTAAAGAGCAGATGGTGGTAGTGGTGATGGTGATTAGCATTTTGAATGTGACCATTTTTAGAAAAAACATACACATTCCCATTCTTCAGGACTCTTATTGCTTAGACTTGAGGCTTCATTTATTAATGCCACTTGCCTGGCCCTGAGAAGCTTAGGTTTGCAACCCTGTATTTGTTTTCTAGAGCTGTCGTAATAAAGTACCACAAGCTGAGTGCCTTAAACAACAGAAATTTGTTGCCTCACAGTTCTAGAGGCTAGACGTCTGGGATCAAGGCGTTGTCAGGCCATACTGTCTCTGAAGGTGATAGGGAAGGATCAGTTCCAGGCCTCTCTCCTAGCTTCTGGCTTGTGACAACATAACTCCAGTCTTCACATGGTATTCTCCTTGTGTGAGTGTTTCTGTGTCCAAATTTCCTCTGTTTATAAGGACACCAGTCATATTAGATAAGAAGCACATACTACTCCAGCATGACCTCATCTTAACTAATTACATTGGCAACATTCTGAGGTACTGGGGGTAAGGATGTCAACATATGAATTTTTGGAGGACACATTTCAATGCATAACAAGCCCTGAGTAGACACTGGATTGCCAAAAGAGGTTACTTCTTGAACTTTTCCTTTTTTTCTAATCATATTTCCACAGTTATATGTTCTTAACACAACCAATTGTCATCTTTAAGCATTCCATTGAGTCTGAGTTGTCCCCTGAACCAGTGTTATGCATGCTGTACCAGGAAGAGTAGGGCATGGAAGCCAACACAGGGAGGTGAGTGTTCTGGAATGAGCAAGAGGCCTACATCAAGGAAGATAATAGCTCTGAGGGACCCTGAGGCTTGGTGGGGATGAGAAAGGACTCAAAACTTGGAAACCACAGGAGAGATGAGAGAGGGAGCATATAATTTATTATCCAAATAGAATAATATTAACAGTGAGAAGGAGCCCTGTTAATAATTCTGTTCTGCTTTAGGAGTAACTCTGTCTGTCCCTGGCAACTGGGACAAGGATCACCCTACATGGTGGCATCATAACGAACACTTTACATTATCTCTCTTAATAATAGCGGATATTAGCAGATGCTAATAGTTTCTATTCATCAGAAAGTCAAGTGGCTTATTTTGTTCTCTCCGAGCAGCTTTTGACAGCAAAGCCTATATAAGCATACAATACAATTACCTTGAGCCTGGAGAGCACTTGAAGGATCTTTCATTTGATAAGTCCTTTGGACATCTGTAATGGGGGAGAAAAAATTGTCAGAGGTATATTTTGGAAAGGGAATTGAATTACTATAAGTAACTCCTCAAAGAGAGAACTAAGGGTATGTTTTCCTGAATGTGAAGGTGGGACCTTTTCAAATTAGAATTCCTATGCTGACTACCATCCCTAAAACTCAACAGCATGGGGAAAATAATGAAGGAAAAGGCAAGCACCATTTGCCAAAGATGTGGCTGAGATAATGCTGCTGTCACAGTGAAAGTTTCGTGTTATCTACAAGATGGAAAATTATTTCCGATTACCATATAATGAAAGGGAATGAAAACAATGGCAAGCCTTCACATCAAAGCTTGTCCATCATCTCCATGCTACAGCAGAAGGAATATGGGGTCCGGCAGGCCTTAGCAGTCCTTGGAGAGTATTAACTATAGGCACCAACGGAGCACATTGAGGAGCAATTTCTCTCCCGGAAGCACCAAAGCCTTTTAAGTAGTTCAGGCTTCGCTGTTCACATCCAGTTGCCAAAAAAGCAAATGAATTGACTGATTTGAAAGACATTTGTTTCCCTATTTTTTTTGGCAGTCAGGATGATCGCCTTGTCTTCCCATAATCAGGCCCCACAGAACCACGTGGCTGTGCACTGACAATGTACAAGAAACAAAGCATGGTTTTCAGGTGACCGGTTTGCCTCAATCTGCTTGCAGGCTGTCCCAAGGGGGCCTTCGGATCTGGCCGCTCTGCACAATGTCAGTGTGTGGAGGAGAACACCCTGGAATGCAGTGCCAAAAATGACAGTTGCACCTGCAAATCTGGTTACCAAGGCAACAGATGCCAGAAAGGTACAATCTGATGATAAATTTCCTTTCTTCTCTAACAACAATGCTCAGCCTTTGTTTAGCACCATATGATCATTAATTAATTAATCCACCAGTGTCCTTAGGAGATGGGTAAACTTTATTAATTCCCTATTTGCAGGTAAGGAAACTGAGACACAGGGCAATAAAGTTATTTAACCTTGTCTTCTCGGCCTCTGCGGTTAGCTTGAGCAAGGGAAGAAAGATCATATTGCAGAGGATCTCATCCTAAGAGGATTAAAGCTGGCCAATCACTCCTTTGAGCTGAACTAATCAACAAGGGAACTGCTGGCTTTCAGAGTCAGAGAATCATTTTCTTTATATCTAAAGGTCGATCATTCAAACAAATGCAATTCAAACATTCTAACCGTAGAAAAATTTGGGCAAATTTAAATATGGTTATCACTGTGGTCCTTTCTCAAACTTCTAAGTATTACATAAATAATTTTTTTGTAAATCTATAAATATAAAAATTTATGTCCAGCGTGATTCTAAGTAACATATATAAGTATATGTGTGTGTAGATGCATATAAAATTTGGAAAAAAATATTCCAAGATGTTAGTAATGGCTGACCCTGATTTGTGGACTCACAGGATGCTTCTTCCCTGGTGTCTATCTACATGGCTCTTTTAGTTGTTCAGAAAGTCTCATGTCTCTGTTTCACTGAATCTTATCAGTACCACCCTACTTAAAATTGCCACTTGCAAGACTGCTTGAACTTTTAGAATTTTTTCCAAAGTGCGTATCATCTTCTAACATGTTATCTTATTATAACATATTCTAATTATTATTATTTCTAATATTGCCTGTCTTTCCTGCTAGAAGCTAAGGCCCATGGGGGAAAGGATATGTGTCTATTTTGTTCACTGCAGTAGCCCCAAACTTCTAGAACAATCCTGACATATAGGAGTTGTTCATTAAGTATGTTCTTAAATGAACACATAAATGTGCATGGTTCAATTTTTATTCTTTATCCATTTTTTCATGTTATCATATATTCTGCATTAAGCACTTGTTACTATTTTATTCAGAGGAAATTATCACAGAAGTTTTTTCTCTTTAATATATAGCAAGACTAAATGTATAACAAATAAAATTATTAAAACTAATAGCAAGTGAGCTTTGTGCCTTTGAAATGATCCAAAGGGCAATCTTGTGTAAAATCAGGAGGAGTGAATACGTTGGAAAGGAAACCATCATCCTGTTGGCCCCACTTACAGAGGCAGGCACTGGGGTTGAAAGTTGTCTTTGGCCCTCATTATGACACATTGCTCCTTGCACTGTCATCTCCAGATGGTCTGCAGGACTTTTCTGGAGCTGACTGGAAGGGAGTAAGACTCTTCCAGGTTGTCCCGTGGTGATGGAACTGGAGTATGTGAGCAGCAATGTCCATCGAGATTTCATGGAGAGAGAGCCATTTAGGTAGCTGGATTGCAACTTTCTAAGCAAAGGGGAAAGAACTTGGGGAAACAGAAGCCTGACGTTACACAAATGTGTTTAATGTGGAATGAGAGTGGGCCTCATGCCAATCTCCAAATCTCTTCCTGCTTCAACTGATTTTTAAGCCTAGAGTCAACCCTTTATTCATTTCCCCGCTAGAGAAGTCATGCCCTGGAAGTCACTGCATGAGGAGACAACACCATATACACACACACCTGGGTACATTTAATGTATTCTGATAACATTTTCTTAAAGCAGCTGCTGAATATAGTATATTGGAAAATGCTTCTGAGATTCCCACTGTGAAGGAAAATGAGTTGAAAGTGTATGTAAATCAGCAAAATAGAGAGGTCACCATAATCTCTGGAAAACATATTATTTTTCAATCAGATAACTTTGTCCAATTCTGATATTTTTGTCTAACCACAAAATGAAATTATGAATCAGACTGGAGCAGGTGAATGGGATCGCCATGATTGACAGCTGAAATCAAGGTGAAAAGAGCTCTCCAAGAGTTGTGTATGATGAAAATCAGGCCTGTTGTTTTTCTTTCTCTATTTTAAGAGTGAAGTAGCCCAAGTGCTCCTAGAGCTAGACATATCTTTAAAAATATTAGCTCCAGACCTGTGTCTAGATTGCAGATGAATGGTTAATTAAAGACTACAAATTGTTTCAATGGCACTAATGAACAGTGCTCTCTACAATCAGCACCAGGCCTTATTTAGCCCATCAGCAATGACTTCTAAGAGCAGAAGAGCTAGTTTCTACACTAATCTGTGAAACAGCAAAAAAGAGAGAGAGGAAAAAAAAACAAAAAAGACAGCCAGCGTCTTTGCCTTGTTCTGATTAGTTTATAGTCTGGGGTATTTTGGACCCCAGCTGCAGGCAGAACTCTGAATGTGGAAGACTCTGGCCCACCAAGCCCTTTGAGCCCTATTCAACTGTTGTGTCATCATAAGAAGGACAGATTTTTGTTACAGTAGTTCTGTATTGGATGAACTTCACATTTTTGAACTCGGGTGGGTCTCTAAAAGCAGGTTGACTTGAAAGGTGCTGAGTACATAGTATTGCAGCATAAGTTGGGTTTAAGTGGCTGAGAGCACCAGTTTCAGAGGCCAGAAGAGCTGGGTTCAAATCCTGACTTTGCTACTTACTAGCTGTGTGACCCAGAGTAAGTTACTTTACTTCTCAGAGCCTCAGTTTCTTATGTAAAAGAGAGATAAAGTTGCTTTTGTCATATGGTGATATTTATGGAACCATAAGCTAATTTATGTAAAGTGCTTGGCACAGAGTAAGTAAGTGATCAACAGATAATAGCCAGGAACAGTGTGAACATCCCAGAAAATGTCATAATTCCGTTATTCATAGACTCTGCCCAGGACAAGAAGATACTTGACAACTCAACTTGGTTTGACATATCTTTCCACAATTGTCATATGTTTAGGAAAGTTTCACTGTTTTCCCTGTGTTAAAAGAATGCTTTCCACCAGCTTTCTAATTCCGGTGGTTTCAACAGTAGGACATACATTGAAAGCTCTCACTGAGCCCTCAGGGGTCCCTGCAGCATCCATCATCCTTTTCCAGGTCAAAGGGCATTCAACAAAGCAGCACACATTCTTCTCTCCCATATGCATTGTTCACTCTTATAAAATACACAAATTATGAACCTCTAGGATGATTATTCTGGCTTACAAAAAAAGCAAAGACAGGGAGAACAGGATTCAGGCAACCATTTGGGGACAACTTCCTGAACACCGTGCCTCCTAAGCTTCCTTTACAAATTACATCTCATTTTCAGGTTTTGTTCTGTGCAACTGCCTCCAAAGACATACATCAAAATTGCTTCCATTGTGACTGTCTGAAAAACCACATTTTTAGCAAAAAGCCAACCTCTGTATCTATGTTTCCAAAGTGACAAGATATAGCATCATGTTGATTTCTTCAGGGAATATTTTTGGAAGTGCTATAAATCCTTGGAGGCTACTCGAATATTTCTTTCTTTGCAGCTCAGTCATACACACATGCAGTCACACACACACACACACACTCATACACGCACACTTTTCGAACTTAGGTAAGAACAGAAATCTGGGAAGATCTTGAGATTTCTTACAAGTCTTAGCTCCTTTCTTTCTCTCTTTTTATTTTACGAGCCTGCCCTGACAGCCTCTGGGGACCAGAGTGCCAGTTCTCCTGCGGACCTTGTGAGAATGGAGGTCAGCGCAACAAAAAAACTGGCAACTGTGATTGTCCTCCTGGTTATGTGGGGAAGGCCTGTACCGTACGTAAGTCATTAACCTAGACAAGATAACCAACAAAGTCAATAAAGTTGTTAGCCTCTGTAAGTGCTTTCTTTTCCCTAACTGCTCTATGAGATATTATGTTAGGATACATGTTTCAATTATCTATTGTTGTGTAACAAACCATCCCAATACTTTGTGCTTAAAACAATGATTTATTATTTCTTTAGATCCTGTGGGTTGAGAAGGTGGTTCTCCTGGAGTCACGCATGTAGCTGCTTCTAGCTGGTAGATCAGGTGGGAACTGGGCTTGACTGGGCTGCGTAACAGAACCCTGGCCTTTCCTCTACATAGCGTTTCTACAAGAGTAGCTTGGGCGTCCTCATAGCGTGGCAGTCTCAAGACAGCAGTCCAAGAAGGGGCATCCTGAAAGTGTGAAAGCAGAAGCTATAACGTGTGAAAAAGCTTGGCTTCAGAAGCCACATCATCACTTCTGCCACATTCTGTTAGTTAGGCAAGACATAAGCCCAGACAGATTCAAAGGGAGAGGAAAGAGATTCTACCTCCTGATGAGAGGAGTAGCAAATCTCATTGCAAAAGACCTACAAGCTGGGAGATATGGTTGCAGCCATCTTTGAAACCAATCTACCATAGTATATTATTTAAAGTTATACTGAAAGACATTTCAAGAATCCACTAGAGGGGCCAGCCCTGTGGCCTAGTGGTTAAGTTCAGCGTGCTCTGCTTTGGCAGTCCAGGTTCGGTTCCCAGGCACAGCCCTATACCACTTGCCAGAGGCCTGTGGCAGCGACCCACATGAAAAATAGAGGAAGATTGGCACAGATGTTAGTTCAGGATGAATCTTCCTTAGCAAAAAAGAAAAGAAAAGAATCCTCTAGACTGTATTTATCATTCTTGTCAGAAAGCAGATTATAGACTGATAAAAAGTGATTAGTTAAACCAAATCTGCTTCAAAGAGCCAGTAGAATGCCTACCTGCTATCTTCTTTCTTGCTTGTGACTCTTATATAACCTCTGTTAACCCTGTCTGTATGACCTTCTCTACTGCACCCACGGCGAAACCCAGGAACTTCAGAACTTGAGGAAAGCTGTGGGCTGGGTGATAATGATCGTGTTTTTTACGTTACTGTTTCAACCGTGTCTAATGAAGGTTAGGAAAAGTCTGTTGCTTGTGATTGTCTATCATATGAGGTGTGAAGAGTAATCTGAATTAGCTTTCAGCGCTCAGGACTTTCTATAAACCAACGAGCAAATAAAACCAGAAACCTAAATGTAAATATAAAGTGTAACACCAGGCAGTATTTAGCACGTAGCTGATCATCTGATCATTTGGGGAAGTGCATTATTGCCCCTAAAGATAACCCTCAAGCAAGAATGATAGGACAAGGTCTTTGCCTGACAATTTTTTTGGATATAACTAGACAGTTTTTACTGTAGGACTGTCATTCTGGCACTGTTGATAAGCGTTTCAAACAGTGTAAAAGTTTGCCCATGCAGCGGTTGGCTATCCCTAAGCTACTTGTTTTCTTAAAAAAAAAAAGCTTAAAGGTAATAATTTACATACTCAAAAGGTAGTTACTTGCTATTTCCACAGTGAAGTGACATTTTCTCTTGTCTAACTTAACTTTAATGGAGTAATTATTAAGCAGATAGTGATAAAGTTTACACTAGTCCAATTGTCAGGTGATATAAATAGACCATTTAGAAACAAGTGAAGAGAAAGATAAACTGCTCATTCTTTAAAATATTAATTTTAATAGTTCTGTTACAACTCTTCCATTCTAGGATTTGAAACCCCAGAGGAATATATTTTGATAGTCCTGAGAGATATCTGGTGACAAGTAATAGTATTCTAATTTTATTGGCAACCTGATACATGAGATAGTGTGTTGAATAGGCAAGAATATTCCCTGACTCCTAGTCCACTTTAATTTTAGTATTAAATGCTATTATCTGATTTTACACACACAGACACAAACACAAATTATATAATCATCATAATAAGATATTTAGGAAAATGAATGGAACCAAAGGATAGGACTCATTAAAAATGCTTCATGCATACTCCACAAAGAATGTGTATGGCATTTAAAAACGGGCTTGTGTTTGAAAAAAAGCATACAACATTTCACTAAATATCCTGTTATGGTGCTTACAGAATTTTAAAACCTAGTTACTCTGCATAATGAACTGTAAAAATATTATAGGCTGTACAAGGTAATATGTTTTAAAGGCAGGAAAGACCAAAAAGCTATTTCTAAAGATATTGGCTTTATATAAATTCCAATTTTTGGAAGTTATAAATACAAATACTTGGGGAAAATAATTCTTTTTAAAAAAGTGTTTTATTTCACTGTGGTAGAAAACTATCTGGGTTATAGTAGGTTGTATTTTTTTTTTCTGCCTTCAATGTTGAGGGGGGCAATTGTGGCTTCATAGACACTCTCACACTCTTGGTAAGAATGTGTCATCTCTGTGAAGGGCAGTTTAGCCTTAGCTATCGTGCCTTTTACCAAAAAATCTGAGAAGTAGTCCTAGCTTTTTCTTTATTCCAGCATTATTTATAATAGCAAAAGTACAAAATAGAAACAACCTAAACATCCACCAGAAGGAGAATGATTAAACAAATTATATAATACATCAGCGGACTATTCTAAGGCCATTAAGATTCATGTTTTAGAAGAATGTGTAATGTCAGGAGAATTGACATTAAATTGACATTAAATGATATATATAGAGAATGATCCAAATTTGTAAGAACATGTACCCATGTATGTATATGGAAAATTGTAGTAGAAGGGACAGCGGTTGGTAACAGTGGCCATCTCGAGATGGTTGGACAATGGGTGAATATTTTTCTCCTTTATAAATGACTGTCTTTCTCTTATTTACTACTTTACCATTTTCCCCCTTAATAATTAGGAAGAAAAATAAATCATCTTCAGACCAATCATTGACTAAATATCCAAATAAGATAGTTGTCTGTTCTTAAAGTACTGTCTGGTGGTCTTAACTTTCCAAATAGTGAAGATGTTTTTCCTCCAGTCTAATTGAACTTGTCACTCTTTTAATTTGACTGCTTTCTCCTGTTTCACGTGATGTGGATATTGAACATAGCTTGGCAGCACCACTAAAACTCTTAAAAAAAAAAAACATAAAAGAACATAGTAGTCTTTCCTCTGAACACTTCTTTTCCCTTTCTTCAGAAATCCCATTTCTATCTCTTAGTCATTTTGTTATTACTTCTCTGAATTCTGCCGTGTTTTTCATGAGCATTTACAAAAGTGGCCCCTCCACTACTGTAGAAGAGAAAATTAGAGAGAATGGGGGAGAAGACACTAGAAGGGAGATACTAATTCCAAATACAATTTACATTTTTAAACATCATATGATTAACCATCATGAAATGATGAATCATCATGAAATGATGATGTTCAAACATCATTAAACATCACGAAAACCATACTGAACACAGATGTGAACCTTATGTAGAGGTAAGCTGGTAAACGTTTAACAACTCGTTTTCTGAAGTATAAAAACCCTGGTTTGTAGCGTTTGCCAGTTTCCACAGTGTAATACTCCCACCATGGTGCTTTCAAGCAACCAATGTGATGTCAACCGGCTCGCAAAATTCCTGAAAATTTAACAATTGGCTTTCCTGAGCTGGCAGTAACAGCTCCAGTATACCCCTAGCTGGCAAATAGTACATTTTGAATACACAGAATATTTCTTAACGTTTATTTTCTCTTTACTTTTTAGGTATCAATTTTACTTTGCTGTTTCTAAACAGATAACTAGTTTGATCTTTTTGGTCAAGTTAAATTAACCAACAAACTGTTCCAGCCAACAAAAACTTCACTATTTAGTCTATTTTATTTTTAAAACAAAAATCAATTGTTTGCCTGAACTGATTCAAGATTCAAAAAACAAACAAAAAATGTTGGATTGCTTTATGTGTAGACACAGCCTCGCCACTCCTTTTCTCTAGAATTCCTGTCGTTGGAGTATTGACTCAGATCTAAAGGAACCATCTGTTCCCTTAAACAACCTCTAAGCTGTTTTCCAACTTCCTGTAACACACCTACCATAAACCAGGGCTAGCATTTCCTTTATGACACACCATTGTAAAAAGAAAACACTTATCTAAGGCAGAAAAAATGAGTACATGTAAAACAAAATGAACAAATAAAAAACTATTAGAAGCACAATTGAATGTCTTAAACATCACCAAACATGAAGAGCTAAGATGCAACAATATATTTCTAACCTCTCTGAAGCAATTCTAAATCTGATTTTTAAAGTTGCTATAAAATAAATTGTATTTAAATAATACATCTCCTATCCTTTCCAGCAGTGAGATGCATATCCCTTACCAATCTGGTTCACAGCAGGCGGTCCAGCCTGATGAAGTATCAGCAAAATGTCAGCTCCCACAGAGAAGTGCGACAGAGAGGCGACACTGAGGAAGTGACAGGCCTTTCAAAAAGCTATTGTGCAAATTCAGTTTTAAAATAGGGATATAGTTGAGGACTGATGGGTATGTCATTGCCAATGTGTTCATCTCCCCATCATCTGCAGATGCGGAAAGGAGTCGTGGTGCAGTGATATATATTGGCATTGAGTTGAGGAGTGGTGCATCTGGTCTTGAGGAGATTTGTCTTCCTGTGTTTTCAAAAAGTTAATATTCAAATTAGCTGTTATTTTTTAGCACAGACCCATTGAAAGGGGCCAAGAGCTGCTCTTTCCCCTATTCTTATTACCTTCTCTAATGTCTCAGTTAGAGCTTTAAAAATAAAGTTAATCCTGTCATTACTTTATAACTCTCAGTGATCTACTGATGCTTTACATGATGAGGTTAAAATTCCCTGAAGAGTTCGGGGCACTAAAGGCCCATCATCCACCTGTCCCTAGCATCATTTTGACTGCTCTCACACACACCCCACCTAGTTTAGTCATTCCCCTAAGCACCATGTACTTTTAAAATGTGGTGCCAATGTTCATTGCTCCTTCCTGCTAATAAATATT